TAGAAATTAGGAAACTTCACAAACTGCGATATGAATCATGGGGATGGGGGGAGGAAAAAAAAAACTATTTTCTGGGGAGAATCCCACCCTGCTGGAGACCTGGATGTCCTCCCTTCCCATTTTCTTGCATCCTCCCCACCCCCATCCATCCTTCCCTTGGGCTCATTGCAGCCCGAGTGCCACTTTTCTGGGAAAAGCTGATATTCTGACTTCAGTTTGTAATTTAATGATGGAGAGTTTCCTTAGTAAACCAAATTTAGAGTCCTAGAATGCTTATCTTATATCCAGACCTCGAACATAAAAGGCATTTTATACCCGCAATTGTTCATTTAATGAGCAATTGCGGAGTGCAGGCCGGTTAAGGGATTGAGCTATATGCACTATTATTGCAAGAAGTATTCCGAAATACCAGAAATAGGACGTAAGCTCTGATCAGGGAGACTGCGAGCACAATTACCTTCTTTTCAAATCCTTCTGTGACACTGCGGGAGGAAAAAGGACTTTGAAACTTGAAAGGAAAGAGCTTGCTTTCAACCTCAAAAGCTAGGAGGAAAGGGCTCTGAAATTTGCTCAGAATTCCCAATTCACCATTAGCCTGTTTCTTCCTTTAGCCTCAAGGCATTCTCCGCTTTTTGAAAAGATGTTAAGAAATTCAGTCACAATAGAGAGCCTAGTTTTGAACATGTTTCACTCGGTCCATTGAGGTCTGGGTTCTAGCCTTTGTGTGGGGTGAATTGAGCTGAGCGGCTAGCTGGTTGGAGAGAGGTGAATGAGGAGTCGCTGTGCAGTCGCAAATTCTGGTGAAGAAAAAAGCTCACCCCGTCCTTTATTTTACAATATGCATTCCTGTACAATCCCGCTAGTGGCAATATGTGGAGCTGAGCCTGCTCCTAGGTCAATACAGAGTACTTGGTTTATAGCAACTCTTGTTAAGTTTGTCTTGTAATTGAAGCTGCTGTTGACCTTGCTTGGGGACCATTTGTAAAACCGTTTATTTAGCATAAACTGAAATAATAAACCCTCCTTCTCTGGGGCTGATTGTGATAGGGTGACATTAGTTTGATTTAATGATTAGCCGCCTGACCCTTCTGCTGGAGAGAGTGCCTTGAATAGGGAGAGTTCACTCGGAAGCACTCAAAGAATACTAATGAGCTTGTTAAATTTAGCATGGCTCCAACCACTTTTAATTCCTTTAATGGGAGCAGCACTGCCTGGGTGAGGGAGAGAGACACGGAGAATGTTCCTAGAGGGTCTGTACAGCTAGCGAAGAAAGCGCACCCTGAGAAGTTTGCAGACAGTAGCTAGCCAGTGCCCGAGGTCCGAGTTGTAAGTATTGTCTGTTCTCTTACACTAGCTTTTTCCAGGTCTTGGGTGAGGCATGAGGGGAGGGCATTAAAATGGAATTTAAGGGTACAGTTGAAGAATCTACGCCGAAGGTTTGGGAGGTGAGGCTGGGGGAAGGTGAACACGTGTTCCCTGAGCTCCTAATGAGCTGATTTTGTTAGGTGACAGGAGGTGTCCCTAGTTAGTGACACTTGCCGAATTTTATCTTTGTATTGGAAGAATTGTTCCAACTTTTCAAGTCTTGGGCGAAAACGAACTTGTCTCCTTTGGTTACAAAGAGAGAAGGGGCACAGGAGTTTATGAGCAAGTGTGCAAGAGTTGTACTCTGTATGCCGTAATCGCTGTCTCCAGCCCTTTATTGTAAACATCCTAAGCACTGTTTGCAACTTTCACTTTTTCTGAGTTTCCGGCACCCAGAGTGTCTAACTCCGTGTTGGTTGCTTCTGGGTGAGTCTGGAAAATCTGGGAGTTTATAAAATTTGATGCTAGGGGCAACTCTCCATTGTGGAGGTTGGGGGTTGGGGGGGGGGATGGCAGGGATTTGTGAACTTCCACTTCAACATGAATATACAGAAGGAAGGCAGTAGGAAGTGGGATTATGATGATGGTATTTCGAGTATTTTTTTCCCTGAGAGTTTTTGGTGAATTGCATGTTTCGATTTGACCCAAGAGCTTGCAGCTGTTAAACCTAGGGAAGCAGGAAGAGTTGCCTTGTGTTTGGCTGTTAAAGCACATTGGCAAATGCTCTTGGAGCCGTGGGATGTTTGCTTACATTTTTGCAGCCGACTTCTGCTTGTTGCCATGGTGGACAGTATGTTTCTGTCAATAATTTGGCCTGGCGTAGCTTGTCTGCACTGGCTCTCAAACTTTATTGAACAACTCGGCTCCACTGAACGAGATGAGACCGCTTTCGTCTTTTGGCCTGCTGAAGTGGTTGCTGAATTTATAAGAGGAGGCAGGAATATTGCTTGGAAGGTTTCCCTTTCGCTGTATGTGGAACGCTCTCAGGCTCCCTAGCCATGTGGCTTCTAGAGTGTGTGTACTGTCAAGCTTGCATCTATCTGAATGCCCGGCGAAAGCAACCCTGTATGGTCGATAAACTTCGTGAAATAACTGCTGGAATTTGCAGTAGCGGGGAGGGCTCTTGGGTCAAAAGTGTGATAGCCCCAACTATGGCAAAAATGAATCGCCTGGTGAAAATTTTCCATGCTAAACAAAATTCATGTCTGCATTTAGCTTTACTAAGAGAATCACTTTCTCTGTATTAGTTTTTGAAGCCTGCATACTTGTTGGTTTAACTGTAGTATTCACACGTGTTGGGTATACTCTCATTAAGAAAATCAGCTAACAAGCACAGCCGTGTTTCCACTCATTTCCTCCTCCATTCATTTCCCGCCTCAGCTGCTTTCTCCCTGGTATGGGGGCTGGGGGTGGGAGGGACTCTGGCCAGACCATTCCAGTTATTCTATTATTGAAGTTGAATTCAAATGATCATTAGAAAGACATAGTTTTTAACAAGTTGAGTTTATTACAGGGATGCAATTTTAGTAGAAGAAAAGTTAATTTCTTCTAGGAAGATAAAGTTAAACCAGGAAATCCTGGTTTAAACCTGCAGCAGATGAACAGAGCTGTTTTTTGTTTGTTTGTTTTTAATCTTTCTTAGAGAATCTTATTTACATGACCCGGCCCCACTGAGCAAGTGGTCTCTGGCCTCAAGTAAAAGTCCCATTCTACAGAATTTGCTGGTCTGTGCTAGAAGTTCTCTTCAGGTTAAAATTTGTAATAAAATAACAGTAAATGAGTGGAAAATATGAATTGGGTGATTTATAGGTTACAGGAATATTTATAAAACGTGTCAGTTTTAGTGCTTTGACACCTTCTGTTTTTATACAACTGCAAACCCCTTAATTCTAGAGCCTGCAGATTTACTCCGAAAGGAAGCCAGAGGTAGACTAATACCTATACGTGTTAGAAGGGAAAATAAAAAGGTAGTGTTTTTTGGTAATTTGTTTTACAGTTACGAAAAGCATGGTTCACATTGCTTTTGTAAAAACGAATGTGAACATGTGAGACGGCATCACTATTTTCTGTTGTTACCTGATAGATTAAACTCATAATTTACTCTTTAAGGTTTGGAGTGAGGATCTGCACAAAACAATACTAAAATAATATTTCACAGTTACCATTGTAGGAGTCAGCAAATTCACAGCAAAGACCAAAACATACCTCATTGTCTATTCTGTCTTGCAAGTCATTTGTGAGGCTAAAACAATATGTTGCTCATTTTTCAAGTCCTACACAGAGGCAGAAAGAGGAACGTTGCTACTGACATTAAGTGGTTCAAGTCCTTCATCGCTACAAAGTAGTTGCTGTTATTTTAGCTTGTAGTTCTTCTCTTGTCTGTATTTATGGCTTTTCTTAATTTGAACAAAGAACTATGAAACTACAAGAGCCTTTTTTTTTTTTCTGAATTTTGGGCGCTCTTAGCTTGTGTGCTATGTGGACTACTTCAAAGATAGTTTGTATATTGGGATAATATATATTTTAAAAATCTGTCCATTATGATTTATACACAAATATTGTTTTAAGATAAGCGGCATTGAGAGAGTTTTTAAATTAGATGCCGAACAGAACCTGGGCAACTTTGACTCCATCAGCACTCTGGGTGCAGGATTCTAGCAGATGAATTAGCCCACTTGTGGGTTCAGATACCCAGTTGGCTTAATTTTATGCATCGGTTCTTTGATCCTCTATTGTGGAAAAGCCATCCAGTCACGTTTGCTGAGAACTACAGAGGATAGATGCAAAGTGCTTCCCGATCAAAGGGAACTGGACTGTTAGGGAACTGGAATCCCAACAATATGTGGAATTTCATCAAGCTGTTTCCTGCATGTGTGGAATGACATGTGAACCCCTGAGATCAGGCATAGGTAGCAACACTACCAACACCTTTCTTGCCCCCGTATTCCAGTCTCTCCGTTTTCCTCTTCCCAGGTTTGTGTAGGGACAGAACAGGAACTGTTCGGCAAGAGACTGTAAGCTTTCATGGTTGGCACTGCTGTCTCATCACCGGTGGGCATTCTCTTTTGTTTGTGCCTCTGCTAAATTTGTCAGTGAGTTATAGATCTGACTTGGGGAAAAAAAAAAAAACATAAAGCCACAAAAAGTTTCTGATAGATCATCATCCTAGGAGCTGCAGAGGCCCGGCAGTCCCTGGAGCCACTGAACGTCCTCAGCAAGCAGCCGCACTCCTCCTTACTCCACAGACTCACTGTCTCAGCCCAGAAAGCTCAACAGTCACCATCTGGGCCTGGCAGAACTTTCCATCCAGTGTGGAACCTGTAGGCTATTGGCACACCCAGGAAGGGGAGCCTCGCTTGAAGACTCACCTATAGACTGGCCAGGGTCATGGGCTGGCCCATGTGGCTCATCTCCCTTCCTCTTCTTGCTGTCATTCTCTGTGCATATTGAACCTTCATTCATAGGCAGCTTTGTCTTGGCAGCCATCTCACCCCAGGTGTGTAGCTTTCAAGTAGCTGTGAAGGAGAAAGAAGCCTCTTGATGGGAGGGATGGAGAGAGAGGCCTAATTGATGACTGTTTTTTAATTGCTCCTTCAAGTGGCTTATGGAGTCTTTCATTTTCCTTCTTTCTTTAGAGGATGAAAGTCCTGGACAGACCTATCACAGAGAGAGGAGAAACGCAATCACTATGCAGCCACAGACCGTGCAGGGACTCAGCAAAATCAGCGAGGAGCCTTCGACATCTAGTGACGAGAGGGCCTCGCTGATCAAGAAGGAGGTCCATGGATCCTTACCACACCTGGCAGAACCTTCGGTGCCTTACCGCGGCACAGTGTTCGCCATGGACCCCAGGAACGGCTACATGGAGCCTCACTACCGTAAGTGCTTCTCGCCAGTATGTGCTTGCTTGTTCCTGGAGCCCCAGGAAGAGAGAGAGAGAGTGTGTGTGTTTATGTGTGCAGTGTCAGGTGATCTGCTCCTATACAATATGTGGGAATGTTGGATTTCTTCTTTCCACTTTTCTTCTCCTTCCTGTCGATTCTTTGTAGAGACAGGTTTTTTTTTGTTTGTTTTTTTTATCATCTCCAAGCAACTTCAGCCTCTGTTGGGTGACCTGTGGAAACCTGGTTCATTTGTGCTGAGGCCATTTGGATCTCTTTTGGGAACTAAATCCAGATTTGTTACATCCAAGTAGAGGCTGCGGGGGGAAGATGGGTTGATGGTGGGGAATCACTAAAGGGAGCTGTGTTAAACCGCCTTCATAGCAGCTGTTCTCATTGTAATGATTTTTGATTTAATGATTTTTGCTGGTTCCTTGTTTAGTGGTTTGTTCAAACAAGCCTCTCTTTTTAACAAATCAGTGCTAAGTTCTTTAATGTGGAAGATTTTTCTGTATGCCCAACTTTTCTTTTTAGCCATCATGCCAGAAAACCTTGAAAGTTCTTTTTTTGCAGCACTAACAAAGTAGAAGAAATTACCTAGAACTCTGAACCTAAGTATATGAAAGTGTTCTCCAAAGTATAAAGGAAAAAAAAATACATGGAATGGGCTTATTTCTGGACTGTTTCTTGTAAAAAAAAATCCACATGGGTTGTGGTAGTGATAAAGTTCAAATTGAGGTGGCAAAGCTTGCAGCTCTTGATTACAGATTTAGCACCTTGCCAGGATACAGGCATGCCATCTAACCTTCCTGGCTCCAACTCCAGATGCTTTTGAGAGCCCCCCAAGAGGGGGACTGGTTTGTGTTTCCCTGTTTCCACATCATTCAGAAATTTTAGTGTTTTAAGGCAAAAGGTCATTAGCCAGATGACTGATTAGCGAGGACAGCTGATTAGTGCATGTTTTTTTGCTCAAGAAAGTGCCCAGGATAAAAGCTAATTTCATCCCTTCATTAGTTGGCTTGCTCACTCATCAGATCAAAGGATCTCGCACAACCTCCGTCTTAGCAACTGCTTCCCTCCGCCCCCCCCCCCGCCCCACCAGATTATATTGTTGGACAAAACGGAAGACACGTTATTTTTTAAGTGGAGAAAGCATTTCTTAAAAAGTGATCAGAGGCAGGGAAGGAGAGGTTTTATGAAACCTTTTCAGATGCTCCATGTTCCCATGAAGGAGCGTCTACTGGCCATAGCGCTGTGAAGTTGTTTCCTTTCATACAGAATGGAGTTGGAGCTGCACTGGGTGCGTGACTCCCTCCCCTCAGTTAGGGTCTCATTTTTGTTGTTGCTTTTAACTTTTTTGTTTTGCTTTTAACTTTTTTCTTTCCCTTGAGAAATGGAAGTTTAAAATAGTGTTGATAGGATTCTTCTCTGAGCCCATGTCGCGTTTTCTATGTTGTGATTGTATTTCTGGGTTTCTTTTTCTCCAGGCAGAAAAATGAGAGGTCTTCCTACATATGTCCTGCCCATATTTACAGAAAGGTACTTCAAAAACTTAACAGAAAAGTTGAGTTAAAATATAAATCTGGGTGAAAACATGTTGAAAACCATGCATGTAGTGGGTTCTGAAAATTTCATGGGAAGTGCATATTATGAAGTAGGCTTGAGTTACAATATTTTTTATAGCTAAATAAATGTATCTTCCAAGTCCCTTTTCTACAAACTCTCTGAAGTTCTCTGAGATCCCCTGGTAGTCCACTTAACTTTGTAAGAGTGACTGTGTATAGATTCTTAGCTGTAGCTCTCTGCATGACTTTGTCTTTCTATGTGAACACAAACTTTTCCCAACTCATCTGTGTTTTGTTTTCCAGATGCCCACTCATTAGTGAGGTATTTAATTAGGACAGCTGAGGAGCGCTTCTCTTTGACTGATGGCCGTGGGCCTCATGACAGTTAGATTTCTGTGTGTGTCATTCAGCTTGCCGCTTGTTCTTGGCTGGTTGATTGTAACGGATTCTGCTGGTCACTGGAGGGGCTGAGTGCTCACACCTGCGACCCCTTGTCTTCTCTCCATGGTCCATGGTGACTGACTTCTAGGACCTCCAGTTAAGATGAACTAATACCACACACTGGGGAGCTCCTGCTGGGATTTGGGTTCTTTCTTGTCTTCTGTTTTGAGGCCGTGGTTATTCTTGACATGTTCTCTCCATTTTGTTTGAATCAGTGTTAAGATTGTGTGATAACATATAAACTGTGTAAGCTGTTGGTTTAACCAAATGCTACATGTGATTGACTTACCATTCCTACATTGGTCATAAATAGATTGGGAGTGATTGCGTGGATTGGCTCAGGAGTCCTGGAATTTGGGCCCATGTTCCAGCTTTGTCACATTTGTCTGAGACAGTGACCAAATGTGTTGATTCCTCAGAGAATCATGTTTGTCTTTTCCAATCACAGGGGATGGTGTCTGCTGCTCCCTGATGTCCCCGTGAAAATTATGTGTAATAATGCAAAGAAGCATTCATTAAGATTGCTTAGCATATGATGAATGCTTCAAAATGAATAAGGCCATGTTTCTGCTTTGCTTCTCTTCATCCTTCTCCTTAACATCTGATGGGTGAGCTGTCCCAGTTGAGTTGAGTTGTTTTTCTGAGTGGTATAGTTGTGTTTGGTTCAGTGAAGATGAGCTTTTTTTCTGGTTCCCCCAGGTGCCTGCTGTGTGAGACCAGTGTCTTCTGTAAATGCAGAGTGGTGATTAAGGATTGAGTAAGCCGTAAGCCTTTGGAAAGGTCTGAACACAGGATTCTGTGCTGAGGTCACCTAAGCATAATGGTTTCTCAGCCGCAGTGGATTGACTGTATGCAAAAAGTTTTGAATGAATTTTGAGAAAGCTTCATATTTTTAATTTAATTAACAGAAACTATTTTATGGAACAATTAGAAATGATGCATGCAGAAATCACAGTGTTATTTATGTGAAAGAAATAATTTGGAGGTACTCTAAGTTAAACTTCAGAGTTGGAGATGACTTTTCCTAGAACCTTTTTGTGTTACCTCATGTTCACAATCACTAGTGTTTCTCAGATTCTTTGTAATAAAATGTCATAAATTTGTCTACCTCACATGGATTTAATTATCCAGGCAAAGCCAATGACTCGTGTGAGATGAAGGTGATAAATTTTCCCAAAGAATGATTTAGCGCGTGGGATACAGTACCTGCATTTGAAAGTGAGACGTAACACTTGGATCACTTTGTTTACCTTGTGGCCGAAACTAATCTCTATTCCATGGCACTGTCCATAACACCAGGGCATTGCACTTGGGTGACCTGAAGTCCAGAACCATCTTTAGAATCTTTAGAGACCATTTCTCTTTGCCTTGAGCTGTTTGCCAGCCCTGCGGAGCCGCTGGAGAGAGAAGACTCCTCTCACCCAGTGTTGCTGGCAGTGTGAGCACTCACAGCGATTCCTTCGTTTCTCTGTGGTTGGAAAATGTAGCCCTTCCAAGATGCCTAATTGGTGCTTCTATATATACTAACTTTGTATTTCTAAAATGTGGGCAGGCTTCCTGTAAGACCGGAAAAGAGAAAATCATTTCTTTTTCCCTTTAGAGGGACATCTGTAAGACTTTTATTACACAAGATTTTATTATACTTGAGTATGCAATGTTGCATCTTCACAAATTGTGCTTAGGCAGAATTCAAAGTACTTTAGGTTTTGTGGGTTTGACATTAAAAATTTAAAAAAAAAAAAAAGAAAGAAAAAGAAAAAAGAAAACCCAGGGATAGCGGGCACTTCAAACACCCACAACATATGTTTGGAATAAAACCCTCACAGGGGGTGGAGGGGTGGTATTCTCTCATGGAGGGTAGCTATGGAGGACTGTATATCAAGGAAGGGAAGCAGACGTTCAAGCTGCTCAGCTTAGACCTGGTGTGGAGTTCACAATGTCTTGGCTGCAGCATCACCAGCACTTTAGAATTTGGGAGGGGCTGGCTTTGGGGCCTTGAGCACCTACTGGTCAGATTTGAACCCCCCCATCTGCCACACAAAGATTTCTCAGCAGTTTGGTTCTTTTTCTTTAAGCTCTTGCTGCATCTGTCACCAGATATTTCAAACTACCATCACCCCCTGCCTTCATTTACTGCTATGCATTTAATCTTTTATAAACTTAAAAAGGCAGGTGACATAATAGTTCAAGCATTCCTGTACCCCGACCAACACTTAACTTTTATTCTCTTCCCTTTTACAGAAAACATGTGTTTCCTTGTCTTCTGTGTGACTGTGAGGAGTCTCCTTTTCTACCTATTCCTGCAGGGAGTTTTGTACAAAGTTTCTTGATTCCCTAGTCACGTCATACAGTCCCCTGCTGGTTTTGTTAAAGGGGCCAGAAAAATGCCTCCTTTTCTGAAAGTTCAGGTCTCTTTTGCAGTTTTATGGTTGTGTGAAGACTACTTTTCTTCTACCCCCAACTGCTCTCAAGCAGTGATCCTTCATGGAAAATATGATTCATTCCTCCATGCAAATGCTTTGATTGAAAACATACCACTGGTATGCCTCCTTCTGCTCCCCAGCTTACAGGACAGAGCTATTAGCTGCTAATTAGCAAAACCTGATGAATTAGCTGCAAGAAAAGAAACTGAATTTTTAATTGGTTTGCATTCTTTTTGGCAGAAAGCTGTTGTGCTGACCCTCCTCATACATTCTTGTGTGCTTAGAAAAAAAAAAAAAAAAGAAATAGCACATGTAAGATCTTTTCCCCTACCTGTCTATCCTCATATTAGGTGACTGCCCACATTTCTTAGAAATGCAGCTTATGAGGGAAGAGAAGATGTGGATTTTACATATTTAATAGGTGCACCTGCTCACATTTCTCTTCCCATCGGAGTGTCAACTTGAGACTGCGAGACAAAAATGCCTACAAGGCACAAGTGAAGAGTTTGGTGTTGTCCAAACCGCAAAGGCAGTGACAGTTCCCCAAACACACACTTCCATTCTCATC